ACTGCCAAGAAAGCTCTACTGGTGCCAGGCGGGGAGAGTAACTAGGCAGGGGTGCAGCCTGGAGCTAGAACAGATTTCATAGAGAAAGTGGTTAATCACTATGGGATCTTAATTACTGTGTTTGGCAACATTCCCACAGAGCATTCATATTCCCTTCTCTCCCTTTCTTCTCTGCTTTCAAGTTCCCATGGTGCTTCTTAAAGAGCCAGGCCTGGAGGCACCAACAGCTGCTCATCCCTAAGGGATCTGATTTGTTTGTCTGGAGAGCTGCAAGTCTGAAGAAACCTCCAGGGAATACTCATTTGTTTTGAGGATGCAGAGAACAGGAAGAGTCTGATTCCTGGAGGAAGCCAACAAATCCTTCACAAATACACTTCGTGCCTGTACAAGATGTACATAGGAAAATTTGCTTATTGTGATGCCCTCTCCTGGTTAGAATAAATCCTACCAGTTGTGTCCCTGTCCCTCCAGTGTGAAACACCTGTAGCTCAAAGCAGAATGAAGTATTTTGTGAGCTAAAATTAAAAGCATTTAAAATGATGGACAGTCTCATCATGGACTATTTGCAATCAATCAGAAAAGAGGAAAAGAAGATTACCTTCAAAGAGGAGTGTCAGGGTGTCTGCAAAGATGACAGCAGCTCGACGGTCACTCATGTCTGTCCCCATCACCAACTGCAGGTTCTCTTCTGCTTTGTTGGCCACCTGCATGACAACAGGACCAGTCAGCTAAACACCCAAAGGTATTCTTCATCCCACAGGTCCTCTGTCCTTGCCCTAGAGAGCTTTCATTGGCCCTCCCAAAGCAAAAGCTATTGCTGTTGTTCCTCTTTTGAACAGGGATCCTTTCCTCTCTTAGAGAAAACTCAAGCCTCAAGGAAAGGCAGAAATTTGTTCCCTTTCCAGGCTCGCTGGATGATTTTTAAGCAAGTGCAGAGAGCAAGACACAGAAGAAGTCAGGCAGCTCCCTGGATCTGTACTCAGACACCAGAAAGTCCATCCCAGCGTGCAAATGTGGGGAGAGATATGAACTAAGGCCAGTGCTATTTTTTAAGGTTAACAAGCCACTGCCAAAATCTCCTTCCACAACATCTGTTGACAGAGACTGGGTTTTGCTTTCCCCTGGGTGTCACAGAGCTTGTTACCTGCTTGCAGAGGTACTCAGAGAACTTGCTCAGCCCATCTTCATGTAAGCCTAGCAGAGGAAAGATCTTGAAGAACCGTTCCACTTGGGGCAGATCACCCTGCTTCATAGCTGCGTCAAATTTCTCCGTAACAATTGTCTTCAGACGCTGCTCTGCTTCCTGCAGGAGCTTCAGGTTGGCATCAATTATTCCTCCTGGTCAAAAGGAAAAAAATGTAAAAGCAACAGCACAATGTTAGTACTGTATCAAGGGCTACTTTTTTTTCCCAGGATATCAAGGGCTACTTTTTTTTCCCAGGAGAGTGACCAGCACTGCACAGCCCCAAGCTGAGAAGGCAGAAGACACATTAGAGTTCCTCTACAGGCACAGACAGACAGGTTGGTGTGTGATGTAATGTTGTGATTTTCCATGGATGATGACAACACATCCACTGGAATTTTCCTCTTAGGAATCTAGCAATTTACTCCCTCATTTCCAGTTGCTCTGCTTATTTACTCCCTCATTTCCAGTTGCTCTGCTTGGTAGCACACCGTAACACAAGAACAATTCTTGACAGAGCCTTGTCTCTCACTTCTTCTGATCTGAACATCTTGTCCTTTTTTAGTTAGCACCTAACTAAATTTTACAGCTGTGTGCCAGGAATTTCCTTTTCAATGAACGCTAATTCTGGTGTAACAACACTTCAAAAACATTCACCCCTAAGTCAGTCTATAAAATACTAAGATCTCTGGCCAGCATTAGCTCTGCTTTGTCTGTTGGGCTGAGACAACCCATGGGAAATGAACAGCCTCTAGACATTCACTGGAAAGGTAGGTGACTTATCAGCATCTCCTCACAAACAGTGCTTACCTTCCTTGCCCTGACGACTGAGCTCAATCACTGACTTGTCCAGAGACAGATAGCGATGGATATGAGCTGCTGCTTGTTCATAGTCCTCATTTCTCAGGGCTGTCTGAACTCCATCCATGCAGAACTTGAGGTCAAGGATGTCATCAGCTCTCTGAATGGCCTGATAGAGTCGGTTCTGCAAGAAAGGCAACCAGTAATGCTTCCAACTGCAGGATGGACCACAGAAAGGGAATTGTGAGAAAACAGTGTGAGGGAAAAGAAGAAACAGACTTAAGCAATATTTCTTTACACAACAAAACTACAATGTAGCAAAGATCCCACACTACTAAAAAAGTGCCAAGACCAGTGGCTCTGCAGGATGAACAGCATTTGTCAAAACTGAGGCTGAACTTGGAGGCCATAGTCCTCTGTAAAAAACAGGTAGAGACCAGAGACAACACCACACATTATCTGTTTGATCTGAGCAGTTGTGCCAAGTGCTGGCATCGACACCCCTCAGCTTGTCCCCCGACAAGGAACAGAACAGCCGAATTCCTGACCTGGCTTGGGTCAGGAATGGACAATGGACATTTCCGCTGTCCTCAGTCCTGTGTAGTTGCCAAGATTGCCAGTCACCCTTTTCAGGGTATTCTACCAGGAGCTGCATGCTCAGAATGGGATGCTGGAGATCCAGCTGCTATATCGATGAGCGTTCCTGGAAGTGTTCAAGGCCAGGCTGGATGGGACTCTGAGCAACCTGGTCTAGTGAAAGGTGTCCACATCAACAGCAGGAGAGTTGGGAATGAGATGAGCTTTAAGGTCCCTTCCAGCCCAAACCATTCTATGATTCTATCAGTCTTATACCATGCAATATCCAGGAGCCCAGAAAAACACAGGTGAAACAAAGAGCATAGCAGTTTCCAGCCCACCTGCCCTCCGAAGGCAGGGCACATCTGTTGTGCTGTGAGCACAGAACACAGCTTGGTGGTGACAAGCTCCAAGCCCAGGCCAGTTACCTTGGCAAGGTCGAGCTGACGGACTTTACTGCTGACGTTCTCAGCCAGGTTGCAGGTGAAGGTGATCATCCCTGCCAGCTGCTGGGCATCCCCCTCGATCAGCTGCAGGTTAGGGCTGGGAACACACAGGAACATGAGATGCACACGTTAAACAGCTGGATGGTATGCAAAGAGAGTAACTCTTCCTCCAAATACAGCTGGTCCTGTTATAGTACTCTCATTTTGTTCCCTTCCTCTGGGAGAAAAGCAGGAGAAAGGAACAGACTAACTGCACTGGGAGAGGCTGCACAGACCACTGTGCCTTGTTACCGTGCATGGCATGAACAAGCCACTGGGCCCTTATGACATTCTCCACTTCTGAAGTGGAGGTGAAGACTGTAAACGTTTCCTCTGAGCTTCTACTAGACACAAGGCCATTTAGGATGACTTTCCAGCCTGCCTGCACAAGTTCACCCTGATGAGGCAGTGATATTTGTTCACACCTGTAGACAGCCTGGCACAAGACACCTGATGCAACAGTTGATGCTGAAACCTGGCAGCCTCTGAGATGACACTTTCAAGGCTTTTGAGGCTGCTTGGCCTACACCAAAATTGGTCAGCCTGAGTGAGGGCACAGCTGTCAGCACTTCTGAAACGAACTGGGCACCTGGGGATGAGGATCCAGCTGGTGTTCTCTACCACAAACTGATTTGAAATCTGACATTTTCTGAGAATGGATGGGCTTCCCCTACAACAGTGAAAGGAGTATCTGGGTCATGCAGCAAGAAGGAAGAGGGGGGATGGAACACTAACCCCATACGATGAAGAGCAACCATCTTATTCTCTATAGTGGTTTGCTGCTCCAGGAGGGCATCCAGCTCTTCCTGCACGACTTTCTAAAAAAAAAAACAAACCCAAAAAACTATGAAGGAGGTGTTGTGTGACTCCTCCAGGCCAGCAATTTATCACAGAGCCTACATCCAAGCCAAAAACACAGAGCTAGCAAGGCATTAGTGTTTCCAATAGCTCATATGACAAATTAATCCTTTCTAATCGCTCTTTAATCCTCTTAATCTTTGTTTTGCCATTTGAAAACCTCGGTTTTGGAATCCTCATCACACCACTTTTAAGTCAACCCACAAACTCCTCCCCTGGCCGGGTTTCCACTGCACGAGATGCCAGAATCTCCAGGCTACTCGCGATTCAGGGATCCGCGGAGGCGACACTGACCCCTGGCCGGGCCCTAGGGGCGGCTAAATCCGTATTAAACACCTCTACAGAGTATTCAACAATGAGGGGCACAGTGACAGCGAGGCACCCGCTTTAAGGAGCCCCGCCGCCTCCCGTGCCCGGCCCCACACACCTCCTCCTCACACAGCCGGCTGTAGGCGGCCTCCAGGTCCGCCAGATCGGTCAGCGACTGGATCCGTTCCATGGACAGGGCGGAAGCGGCGGGGCTGCCACCCTCCCCTGACGGCGCCTTCGGTCCCGGCGCCGTGGCCGCCGCCATCTTGGCACGCAGCTGACGCGGCCGATATCGCCGTGAGGCCCGTCGGGACCGTCAGGCGGTGCCTGAGCCTTGGCGCCGCTCGGCCCCGCCCGCCAGCGAGGGAAGCTAACGCCGCTCCACATCTCCATCCTACAAGGCGGCTAAGGGTTTTCTTGGGGGGGCTCTTGGTGCAGGGAGCAGCTGCCATAGCGCCGCAATCATTCAGGCAACGCATTGGGAAACCTCTCCCACCATACGGCGCGGGCGCGCGCCGGCCACGCAGAAAGCCCCGTGGAGAAGGCGCGGGAGGGCAGCGCGCAGGCGCGGCGCTGATGGCGGAGGAGGCCGGCGGCGCGCCCGCCTAGGCCGG